CAAGAGCAAATCCACAGAAATGCTGCAGACCACTTGGATGAAGCTCACAGACCACCAGTGATTCAAAGGTCACAGTTTGGGACCCCTGCTCTACATCAGCCTGGAGTGATTTTGCCTGACTGGAACCTGTCCTCCACTGTGGTAATACTAGCATGGCCAGAGATACCTGTGCATAAAAACCTCCGGCTTTAGCGCGGAGTCCCATACAAAGGGAAAATTCGCATCCACAGCCCTACCCAGCTTTGCCTCTGGAGATGCCCACATCCGCCTCTGTTCCTGCCTACTACCAGCATGCAACCTGCCCCTGAGGGAATGTGGCATTTGAGCTGAAAGACCTGGTCTAGCTAGGGAGAGAGGGTACAATGGCTTTTGTAAAGTTGTTCCTAGATTAAGAAACTCTGGAGTGCTCCTCTAGTTTAAATAGCGTCTGACAAGATCCGGCTGCCAACAAACTTTTGCCTGTCACCTCCAAGTTTCCAGGCACAAACGGGTTCAAGGCACCACAAGAAGTTCCTGCTCTCAGCTGCTTTTGCGACCACATCCTGTTTTCCTAATGACAGTTGCCTCTCATTGCTGCATCAGATACGGTAAGACTTCAGTGCTGCCAGGAAAGGGGCTCCATTTCTAAGTCTGCCAGGCCCATTACTTTTGCAGAAGTGCAACCAATTCCTCACTTTTAAGAGGCAGACACACACAGGGCCCATCACCCCACTCCTCTTCACTCACAGCTGAGGCATAACAACAGCCCCAGCCATGCTTTGCCTGGAGCCACCTGGCTGTGCAGTGTACAGGCCTCGTTTCCATGGACACCATCTGGCTTCCGTTTCCCCCTCCCAGCTCCTGCCAAGGCAGAATCCCCTTCTGTTTGACTGTTGGGGATGGAGCTAGCAGCCATATGGGAAACGGCTCTCCCCAACGTCTGAAGAGGTGGGGAGAACAACACAACCAGCCCCTTGGGTTCCCCCTCACATACTTCATGACAAACTGCAGCTGTGCCCTGTTTGTAAGCCACTGGGCAATGGCAGAATTCCTCTCCCACTTTGGCAAGAGCTTGCAGGCTGCCAGCCATTACTCTGCAGTATCTAACCTACTGCCAGGCTGCATGGTAGAAATTCAGGCAGCTGTTGATACTTTGGTCCTACAAAAGAATGCCTAAGAAGAATGGATCTATCTTTTTGTGGGAGTGGAGGTGTATGCCTTTTCGCACAGGATACTTCATAAGGCAGAAGAAGAAAAAGGGAACTAGACCCCAAGCTTTCTGCCCTCCACAATTTAGCTGTCTTCCTCACCTGTAGAGTTCTGCATGGCTTTACAAGCTCACCCACCATGCTTTAGTCACTAATCTAGTATGCGATTTCACTTTCCACATTTTGTATTTTAGGAAATTCACTGTGAAGCAACAGGAATCAAAACCCTGCTCTGCACACCCACATATGGTATCTTCTAGACCAAGCGATTTCACCTTGGTTTGTTTTGCTAAAAATAAGCCTCAAAGTCTTTAACCTAAACCCCAAGTTCTGAGGCCAGAATAAACATGATGCCCATCCAGACAATGCTGGAATGCAACTCCCATCATTCCTGACCACTGCCATGTTGCCTGGGTCTGGTGGAAGTTGCAGGTGGACAACATCTGGAGCAGTACAAGACAGAAGCTAAACTGGGATCTACTGGTAGGTCTAAGTGACATGCAGTAGACTACCAAGGATTTTTGACTCTGTGTTTTTGAACTTCCCACCCCCAAAAAGTTAGGCTGCTAATGAATTAATGCAAAGTATGGTTTCTATACATGTGAACAAGTCAATGAAAAATTATTCTTCGTTTTTTATCCTAAAACTCCAGGGTCAGCTTACAATTGCTGTTTGTTCTGTTTTACAATGCAATTAAAATAACAAACTTTGCCAATGAAAACAACTTGCATTCCTGTTTGGAGATAGCTGCAATTGTAGCAGGGGGTTAGTAGGAAAAGCTTTTCTATGTTGCTAGGCTTGCCTTTGACCACTACAGAGGTAAGCAGTCCTCATCAAGAAGTGAAACCCATAATGAAATAAAATGCAAATCTGCCACCTAAGCAGTGGTATTCTTGCCTTCATGGAATATTCAAACATATATGACAATGGTCAAATAAATAGGCAATCCACTGACCAGTGTACCAACCCTATGTCAGACTGAACAAGGGAAACAGCGAAACTAGATTTGTTGACCCAAGAAATAACAAGGACTGGGGTGATGGGAAAGGTCTGAAACAGCTGGCTAGGTTTTATGAAGAATCCATCCATGTATTCACGCTGCCTTTCATAAATACTAGGGGGCAGAAACTTGTTCTCTTTTTAAAAGGGGAAAATCAGGTTCTGAAAATTGTTGGGAAGATACCAGATACAGTGGTACCTCGGGTTACATACAATTCAGTTTACATACGCTTCAGGTTACAGACTCTGCTAACCCAGAAATAGTACCTCGGGTTAAGAACTTTGCTTCAGGATGAGAACAGAAATCGTGCTCTGGCAGCACAGTGGCAGCAGGAGGCCCCATTAGCTAAAGTGGTGCTTCAGGTTAAGAACAGTTTCAGGTTAAGAACAGACCTCCGGAACGAATTAAGTACTTAACCCGAGGTAGCACTGTACTCTATTAGTTGTCCTTTACAGCTGCAGATCCCTAGACTGAACTCACAAGAACTACTCCCTGGGTCCAAGAACTCTACAGCAAAACTTTCAATACCGGAATGCAAGGAATAACAGAACCTGGGGCTGAGCCAATGAACCGGAGAACTCAATGTTACAGGCTTCAGTGCTGAGGCTGCTATATTCTCTCTGTACCTGAACCAACAGTCTCATACTGTGAAGTGGCTTTAATCCTGGATCATTCTATCTGGCCTGCCAGCCGCCCCGCCAACCTAAAACCACAAACCCTCATCAGACAAATCAGTACCCTCCACCCATCCTGTTGTCACACAGCAAGGAAGAAGAGACAGAAAACAAGCCCGTCTCATCAAGTGCCCATACATAGTAAGCTTGCTAATCTTTCTTTAGTAGACGCTCTGTGCAACAGGCAGACATTCATTCCACAGGTGAAATTTTGCCCATTGTCAGTTTTCCATACTGGTGAAAACTGTAGTTGGTTTAACAGTTGCATGACTGTTGCATTCAGTATGCAGGTCTAGAAACACACCCCTCCCTCAAACCCCCTCCCAGGGTTACCCGATTTTGCTGCTGGCTCTCTTCAGTTTGCTTTGCTATTTTACTGTATGGAATAGATTTTACTGTAAGCTGCCTTAGTCAGGTTCTTCCTCCAGTAAGGCAGCTCATAGGGTGTTGTTTTTTAATGCAAAAACGGGATTGAGAATGGAATTGGCCTAAGGCCTCAGCAGCCGCCTTTGTGTAACACAGTCCTTTCCATTCATCATACTCCACAAGGCAGACACCAAACGGCAGTCCAGAGTTTGTGACCCATTACAGGTGATGCAGTGGTTAGAGCTGGGAGAACAGGGTTCAAATCCAAACTCGGCTATGAAGTTTGCTGGATGACCTTGGGTCAGTTACAGTCTGTCCTACCTCACAGGGCTATCGTAAGGATAAATTAGAGAGGGGGAAATGAACCACGTAAACCACCTTGAGGAAGGGCGGGATATAAATGCAACTTCAACAACTACGACAACTATAGCATATGCTCTTCCTCTAGGGAGGTCAAAAAGAGGTCACAGCCACAACCCCATTGCTAGGCATCAGCAAAATAATGATCTGCTCTCACGCACTTTAGAAAACCTACTTCAGATAATAAAAAAGAAATCTTCACAAGAATATGTGGAAAACACACACACCTCAACATGTATAAAGTTAGCACAAGTGACTCTTTCAGAAAATATACAAACACCGGGACAACATCTCCATGAGTAGGGCATGGGACTCTTAAATTCAGGGTTGTGGCCCATGTTGGGCAAAATGTTTATTTTAATTTATTTATTAAATCTGTATACCACCCTTCATCCGTAGATCACAGGATGGTTTACAACATAAAAATACAAGATAAAAACACAAAATACATAATAAATAGAAGACGACAACAACAACTAAAACCCTCCTCCCTCCACCTCTTCCCACAAACACATTTAAAATGGTATAATCAGCCAAAGGCCTGGTTAAAGAAGAACATTTTTGCCTGGCGTCTACAGGTACATAATGAAGGCACCAGGCAAACCTCCCTAGGGAGAGCATTCCACAAATGGGGAGCCACTACAGAAAAGGCCCGTTCTCATGTTGAGACCCCCAAGACCACTTGTAGGGCCTCAGAGGATGATCTCAGGGTTTGGGTAGGTTCACATAGAGAGAGCCAGTCCTTGAGGTATCACATTTCAGGGGGTTGGACTAGATGGTCCTCATTGTCCCTTCCAATTCCACAATCCTATAATTCTACGACTAGCAGAGCAGGTTGCCTGTGAAATGGACTGGAGTTTGTTTCCTCACATACTCAGATTCAAATACAGATTGCCACGGGGATCAAAACACAGAACTGGGTTCAGCCTTATTGTAACCAAACACAAGGCTGTGAACCAATTGCCACCTCTTCCTTCCACCCGTACAACAGAGGTTAGACTGGTTCCTGAGCCAAGGAATCAGCAGGATGGATTCTTCCAAGATCCTCATTCCAAAGCAATTCAGTCACCTGTGTGTTGTTTTTTTTGAGCTCCAGCGGATAAGGTTACACTTTGGCTGAACGATGGTGCACCAAATCTCAGCAAGAGGAAAGCAATATCATAGCTAAAGGCACTGAAGCTGTGGCCCCTGCCCCTTTCACCAGCAGCCTTCACTTAGAGGGACACCAGTGCAATACGCCTGTTGTGGCTTCGCTTGCAAGGGACAGGGCATAGGAGAGGATGACTAATCCTGGCCCCACCACAGACAATATACATACTGCACACACCCCAACTTCTGGCACCTCATTTCTCCCAGCATCAGCACAAGACACTCCTGGACACAGAGAGGAGAGGCAAAATATAAAGCACCTACCTGGCTTGGTGGCTACCAAGGTGGAGGGGAAGAGGAAGGCTTGGAAACTGGAGGCACAGAGCTCACTGACAGTGCCCATGATGATGCCCTTGAGGCAATGCCCTCTCAAGACTGGGCAGGGGGTGCTGCCCTTGGGCAGGTGAGAAAGGCCTAGCAGGCCAGAACCAAGCGCAAGGTGGGGTGCAGAGGCCAGAACATCTGGGTGCCCACTTTCTCAGCACCAAATGGCTTCCCAAGCAGCAGCCTCCACTTCCCCCCTCTTCCAGACAGTGCAAGGGGGCGGGGAGGGAAGAGACAGAGCAGGAGAGGGATCCCCAGTCCGGCTGGAGCAGAAGGAGCAGCAGAGACTCCCACGCACCGAGCCCAGCCAATCGCAGCTCCCTGCCAGGAAAGTGTTACTGTTCCCGCTGCGCTGGACAGCTGACGAGAGACGCACAAAGCCACTTAGAGGGCAATTCAGTTTGGGAACTTTTTCCAAGGTGCTCCCCCTGGCTCCTCCCCGGCCACTCCTCCAAGCTGCCCAGGAGAGGTTTGGGCAAGGGGTATTTTTAGGTCGGTTTTATCCGGCTGCATTATTACAGCTCTAAGCATCTTGTGAGCCAGTGGTTGCTATGCAACGGCCAGCACATAAAAGGAAGGTGCACGAAAATGTAACGCATGCAGGTGCCAAAGACGCATGTGTGCATAGATGTGCATGGAAAGTGCAAGGAAGCAGCAGGGTAAGAGTTGCAGAGTAAGGAGTCGGCGCGATTCCCGGCCCGCTAGAAAAAGGAGGGTCGGGAGCAGCACCATGTGGATCTTGCTGGTAGGTGCAGTTCAAGACCAGTTCTCTAGGTGTAAGACCCTTTTCTCCGAAGCTGGTTCCACCTGAGCAGGAAGGCACTGGCCAGTTGGATCCCAATTACAAAGGTTTCAAAAGCAAAAAAGGCTGAGACTGGTTGCTGCTGTGAGGCCCTGGCAACTGCTGGTGAATTCTCAGATGTTCTCTTAAAAGGTTTTTAGCCCCCATGAGAACAGAAAGGTCAGCCTCACAAACTTGGACAAGACAGACAGTGACTGGCTATTTCCCTTCGACAGGGCTACTGGCTGTCTTTTAATTTGCTGGGGATCATGACAAGCCTGGTTTACACACCTGTCCCCAAAGCAGCACATCAGCCCCTTCTACATGCTTTTTAAAAGTCAGTTTCTTTAACACAGTATGAAGCCAAAAGTTTACAGAACAAGTTATGGCGATGTATTAAAAGTAATGCATAAAATCCAAACCATGTCTGCTGTCTGGACAAGGGAGTACAAACAATGTTTGATGTGTTACAGAATTGACACAGCATTATGCTTTCCACAAAACTGTTTTTGTCTTAAAATAGATCGTGTTTTATCCTGCGTTGGTGGTTATGGTGAGACACAAAAAGCTGCAGAGAGGTCCATCCTTTTTGTGCTTCTGCAAATAAACTCAGTTTGAACTCTTCTTCCTTGCATCTCTTATTACACAGTCTCAGAGAAAACTTGTCTGGCGCAAGCCTCAAGTTCAAACACATTCCAGTCCACCTTGAACTTCTAATCCAATCTAATCAGCTGCACAGGGCAAGAGAAGTCTCACTGGCAAAGGTGGTGCTATTGCTGCTTCTCCTAGGATGTGCAAAGCAATATCAGATTAGCACTCTTGTCGAGAACTGGGAGCCCTACTTGGAACCTGCGGAGCAGGCAAGAGACATGACTCTGTTTCTGGAAGACACAGGGAAACCTGAGATGGCCAGAGTTTAAGAGGAAAGATTGACAGGAGTGTGGTGAACCTGACTAATGGGGAATCCATAAAAGGCCAGTTAGGTGATAAGTGTGCAATTTCTTCTGTGAGAACTCATGGAGAATGAAACAGACAGTCCAGCAAACAGGATTCATTACATCCTCGTGTTTTTTCTTCTGATTCCACAACTGGCTCCCTTATGTCTCAAGAGGCTCGTAAAGAGCTTCTTCAATGGGGCCAGAATCCCTGCAGCACCAAGCTGAACAGCAGCTGAAACAAGGCACAACGGGAACTGGCAAGCTTATCTCCACAAGCACAGGTGCACATCCCAGCTGCGGAGGACGTGGCAGCAAGAAAGTGCACAGGTGCTAGCGCTGTCTGCCAAACGCTTCAAGAACAAGCTTACATTAGACAGCTAACAGCATGGGTCCCCTGTCTTAAAAAGGAGAACACAGAAAAGCTTCCATATTCATCTGATACGTTTCCACTAAAACTCAACCTCACTATTCTTTTTCTGGATCTCCTAATCACCTGGAATTGCTCATATAAAAATCATCTTCTTCGGCGATCACTCGTAGCTGAGTAAGATGGTCTTCCATGAACACAGTCTTAACAATGAGTCCATAAGTGACTGTGGAGGCCAATTCTGGATCCACACATCTTTCCACAGTAAGGACATGGGTTTCCGGGAGGGGGGCAACAAATGGAAACAATGATTTCCTCTCCCTCCACAGGTGTTAATTTAATCAACAACACTAAGATTATCAATTACGGCTGCTGCAAATTTAATATCTAACTGAATTATCACAGACTGCATTATATTACCATTTAATTTCAAATTTACGTTTCCTGTCTTTAAACTCATAAGTGAATATACTCAACAACCAAGGATCGCACTCCAAGCATCTGATGAAGCCCATAAAAACATATCTTAACAAAGTTTGTTTGCCTGTAAGGTGCATCCAGTGGCGTAGCGTGGGGGGTGCCAGGGGTGCCGGCCGCACCGGGCGCAACATTTTTGGGGGCGCGTTTGGCCGGCCCCCCTCGAGGAAGCGGGAACCTCTCCAAGGCGCAGCGCGCCGTCGGTGGAGGAAAAGAGCCTCGCAGCAGCAGCAGCAAAGCCTGGAGGAGGAGGAGGTGGAGCGAGCCTGCTAATTGCTTGCTGGGAATTAAGCGGCTCAAAGGCAAAGCAAAAGAGGTGGAGCCGCTGGCCCGGCCGGGAGGAAGCTGGAGAGAGCAGCGCGCCAAGCGCACGTGACGCAAAGGGCCTGCCCACGTGCAGGCTGAGCTCCGTGTGGCGGGGGCGGAGGGAGGCGCTCGCTCTTTCCAAAGAAGGACCCGGCTACTGGATCAAGGCCACAAGGGCCCATGTAGAGTGAGTGGCCAAGCAGACGCGTCAATGAGAAGCACTCAAAGCAGGACCGGGGCACAAGAGCGCTCTCCTTCCTGCTGTTTCCAGGGGGTGGAAGCGTCGCTGCCTCGAGGGCTTCCGAGATACCCTGGGGTGAAGTCCCGCTTCACCTTCTTGGGAGTCCCTCCAGTGGCGTAGCGTGGGGGGTGCAGGGGGGGCCGGGCGCAACATCTGGGGGTTAGGGGTTAGGGGGCGCAAATCCACGGGTTAGGGGCGCAAATTACTTGCCTTGCCCCGGGTGCTGACAACCCACGCTACGCCACTGGGTGCATCAAAAAGGGGGAGAATGCCCTCCTCCAATTAGTCTTTAAGGTGCCAGAAGACTCTTGGGTTTTTTATGTATTACATCTATCCCTCTGGAAGTTCTCCCCAGTACTTCTGGAAACACACGACTCTAGCTTTCTCATCTATCGAAAGTTCAACATAATGTTCCTTCTGGCAGCTAAACGCTAGACTGCTGGAAAGTGAAAGTTTACGGAAATCCCATTTCATAATAGTTTGATAAGCTTTAGGATCTATTAGCACAGGAACAAAACAAACCAGGTAATTCCCTTAGCATGTGGCTCCAGTTCTATTGCTTCTTACCCACAGTAGAGCAAAGCAAAATAATTGGCCCACAAACTAATAGGGTTCAGGACCCTGACAACCAGCACCCAAAGTAAAATATGTGTGATTTTTATTTTTTTACACACACAGAGGCAACTCCCCGTTTGTGAAAAAATGAGCCATCGTTTCTGAGGGAAAAAATCTCTCCATGATAGCAAGCAGCAGAGAGAGAAGAGGGAGGTGCTCAGGAGAGGTATAAGCCAGATCAATCAACAGAAGAGGCAGAATCAGAGAAGAGAATACCCATGAAGGGTTGGCACTTCCCTTGGCATAAGCGACTCCAGAAAAGCCCATCCCTCATCCAATAGTTTACAAAATGTTGTATGCTTTAAACCATGGGTAGGCAAACTAAGGCCCTTGGGGAGGAAGAATCAGGATAAAGGTAAAGGTAAAGGTACCCCTGCCCGTACGGGCCAGTCGTGTCCGACTCTAGGGTTGTGCGCCCAACTCACTTAAGAGGCTGGGGGCCAGCGCTGTCCGAAGACACTTCCGGGTCACGTGGCCAGCGTGACAAGCTGCATCTGGCGAGCCAGCGCAGCACACGGAAACGCCGTTTACCTTCCCGCTAGTAAGCGGTCCCTATTTATCTACTTGCACCCGAAGGTGCTTTCGAACTGCTAGGTTGGCAGGCGCTGGGACCGAACGACGGGAGCGCACCCTGCCGCGGGGATTCGAACCGCCGACCTGACGATCGGCAAGTCCTAGGCGCTGAGGTTTTACCCACAGCGCCAACAAATCTATTAAAATGAACGAACACTGCAGGGTGGTATCTGCTGCTGAGATTTGCCAAGGGATAAATGCCCAGTAGATGACACTTCAAAGAAAGGTGGCTGTATCAACGTTGCAAAAGGCTCTTTAACAAGGCTGAGCTACCAGTTCTCACACTGTATTCGGTGCCTGAGACTCAGAAGGGGAACTAAAGGAGCCCCATAATGACTTCTGCCCCAAATGAGTAGGCAGAGAGAAGAAGAACTCTTTTCAGACAAGCTCTACATACAAAAAGAAGAGCAGGCCACTCTAGTTAATGAAACCCTCATACATCAGATATTGATCCATTGCTGCTTCAGTCTCTGAACTGGCGCACAACTAGGCAATGACAAGACTTTGGGGCAAGCGCTGTGCCCCCAGAACTGAATCCAAAGTAAGGTGGAAAGATAATGGGAATTATTATCCAACAGGAGGACAGAAAAGCCATCCTGTTACTGTATGGTCCTGGTAAGTGAAAAGAGAAGCGTGGGGACGGCAAACAGTTAATGTTTCCGGTTTCGGCAGAATGAAGATAGCAAGCAAAGCTGTTACGCTGGAGCATTTACTGCAAGCCAGCCAAATGAGTAGAGCAATGCCTCCAGGGAAAGAGCCCTCTCTGCCCCAAATAAGGCTCCTGTTCCTTGAACAGCTGCATGCCAAGGTCCGTAAAGTCCATTATAGGGTAGCAGGGACCAGGGGCACTGCTTGGGGAACTGAATTTTGTGCTGTGCCCCAGATCCCCTTTCCTCCGCCTCTTTTTTAAATTAAAAAAAGCAAACTTTGCTTACTGCGCAGCTAAGTGCAGTGCTAGCAACAGCC